CCTCACTGTCATCTAAAAATGACCCAATCAAACAGTATGACGAAATAGTGAACTGAAATCGTTTAAATTTGTCGTTAAATTGAATGTTTGTTTGTGTTCTTGTTTTTCTCGTTTTCTAGCGGTTCGTGCATGGTCCAAGAGAAAAGAAAAACCATTCAGTGTGTTGTCGTTTTTATTGTTGAATGCATCAGATTTGTTTGTAATTAAATTTAATGAGAAACCTGTTTCGTTGTGTTTTATATCGAGTCGATGTTCGTTACCTTGATGCATCAACTCACAATGAAATGATGAACGAACCTTTATCGTGATTGAATTGGAAGACACACGTGAAACAACAATTTGATTGCATCAGAGTTCATCTTTGATAAAGGAACTTCGCCCATTGAATTTCGAGCAATCATTGAGATCACAGCATCATATCGACCGAATTTCACTCATTTGTCTTTTATTGACCACATTCAAATGTCACTATTAGCGTCCAACTTGGATATAACATTCTAGATAATTGGTGTGAGACTTTTGAACATTAATTTTAACTCCTCTACATTTTCTGATTCTCTTTCTCTTCTCTTCACATTTTATTTTCTTACTTTTTAGATTCAATTTTAAATCTATCAAATTGATGCAATTAAGGAAATTAATTTCTCCTGACACCAACAATGGCGAAGATAGAACTAAAGGATTTTTTACCCGAATACCACCGACACTGAGTAATAAAAAAAACGGTCGTATAAATGGATGAACCAACGGTAAATTCGGTTGTCAATATTTTTTCGCCAAATTAACGTCTAGACAAATGATTGGATAATTTTGACTCAAGAGAAATAACACGAGGTTCTTTACAATTACTTAGTAATTAACTTGATTTCAATTCATATATAAGTAACAGAAATTGGTTTTAACACCACAATTCGATTGAAATATTTACAACAGTGAGATGCAACTATTTTGTGAAACACGGCGAGTGCTTCGGCTCCTTGGACTGTATTTTTCCGAATCAAGTCCGAAATCAACGAAAAATGTGTGTTATAAAATAACAGTGCTAATTTTTGTTGCTTCGATGCCAACATCAACTTTAAGTTATTTGTTGTTTGCTTCAAAGAATTGGTATGAATTTTTTGAGTGTTCGTATGTATTTGTTAGCTCATTTACGATAACTACATGCTTTATTGAACTATGGTACGGTGGAAGTTATTTGACGACATTTTTAACGGGACTTGAATCTATGACCACAAAACGTAACTATTGTTTACATTTAATATTTATCAATACTTTTTAGTTTTTGTCTTCCATCATGACTAGGAGTGAATTTGCAACTAGTCTATCCCATATACAATGACATCAATTTAATGTTTGAGAGAAGAGTGAAAAAAATATCAGCAATTATGTTCAGAGGATTCTTTCCCTTTCTGGCCATTATCAGTATTACTGAGACGATGTTTAGTCAACTGTCAAAAAACAATTCTGTATGGCAATTGGTCTATAACGTTTAGTAAGTGATGAAAAAATACAAAAATTGATTTGATTACTTTCAACGGGATCTTTCTTTTCTTTAGCTTACCATTCGATTGGAAGAAACCAATACCATACTTCTTTCTCATGCTTACTCAAACATTTTCAGCATTCTATGTTCAATGTGTTTATATTGCCACTTCGTCATTATATGTTGGAGTTTGTTTAATTTTGGTGGCATTCAACCATGGCATACGCAAACATTTGCGTCTTACGAACCGAATAATTATCAAATACAAACTATTTACCTCAATACGAAAGATAGAAGCCAAAAGGCGCCTATTGGAAATCATTGCATTTCATTCCGCTACAAGACAGTGAGTTGCTAAACAAAGAATATTTGTACACATTTTTTGAATTTAAAACATTAACTTTAGGACCTTCAGCGATTTCTACAGTCATATAATTTTCATCAATTTGGCTGGATCTATGATTGTCAACAGTTTAATGTTGATGCAAATTACAATTGTAAATCAGTAGTACAAACATAATATGAAATTTAAAAAATGAATTACCTTTTTTCACTTTATCAGTTTATGAATTATGAACTACAAATGGAGATTATGAGACCAATAGCTAATTGGTTCATTTTCACGGCTTGGATTCTTATATTTTGCTATTTTGGTGAAAGGGTTACAAAGGAATTTGAACTGATTGGTTATGGCATCTATCAGTGCCAGTGGTATTTATTTCCAATAGATATGCAGAAAAAATTTCCATTATTCCTGGCTATCACACAGAATCCTATACACATGCAAGGACTTTTCAATACTCAATGCTCCTTGGAGTTTTTCGCAAAGGTATTCTCTCAATTAAGAAACAAAATATTTTTAAAATACTTGAACAACTTTTTTCTAGATTTACAAAGCCACTTATTCCTATTACAGTGTATTACGGAATCTAGACCAAATGAGAATTATGCACAATAATTTATTGATAACACCAATTATTTGAGAACAACCGTATTCTTTGTATGAACGGCATTCAGTGCCGTGAGAAATTTCAAGTAATCAAATAAATTAAAATGTCACATAAAGTCTCTAGAATTGGGCTACTGTTATTTGAAACGCTGAAAACCTTCAAAAGTCGTTAGTTGGAGTGGGTTAACTGGTTGGATTCCGATAAGATCAAACTGAAAAAAATTGATTAGAATCTGAATGTTAATTGAGAGAATTTTAACCTAATTGGGTTTAAACTACTGTTTCGAGTTCTAGAACTTTTAATAATATAATAACAGGTTATTTTAACATTTTGTGATGCTTTACACACTGCTTAGTAAAAAAAAAACTTTATGAGAATAGCAATTTTTCAATCAGCATTTATATTCGTTTGATGTTTTATTCAAATATTTTTTTTTCTAGATAAAAATATTCTCTTATATAAGCATCAATCACAAAATAATCCTTTATTCCTTGATGCGAAGACAATCGCAAAAATCAAACAGGCATAAGAAATTGTTTGCAAAAAGAACGTCAAATCCCAAAGCGCAAGACGAATACCATGTAGTTTCAAAGGAGTAAGAAGACCTATGCAACCCTTCTCTTCCATTGCATCCATTTACTTGATTAAATGATTACAAATTCACAATGAGCGTAGCGCACTCACAGTAGTATGCATTTTTTTCTTTAAAGGGTCCAACAACGAAAAATTCAAAGAGAATATATTTTTTTTATAACAACAGAAACAAGTTCAAACATGAACAAATATTTGATATCTCTTTATTTGCTGTTGTGTCGAAGTTCGCTTTAAATTTTAAAAGTCCTCTTAGAAAATTTGAATGTTTTTTCGCATATTGAAAACAAATATTGACTTTAATTCGGTCCATCATTGATTGATTCCTATCATGAAATGAAATTGAAACCGCAAACATTGAGAAACCGAAATCATTTCATCATATAAACCCCAAAAATGGCACAGATTTTCATGTCAGAGATCACCTGCTGGTAGCATGTACATTGATTTAATGGAAAAATGGGTTTCGCCAAACAATCGGTTGGTTGATACAATGAAAATGGGTAATTCTTTTGAGAAATTTACAAAAAAAACTTGAAAGAAATTTTTGGGTTTGAAGGAGTGATGATGCAAACGGCCAAAATATTTCAGTAAATGAAAAATGGATTTATCATCGATTGCGTTAGCTAATCGGTAACGGTGACATTTAGATTTATTTTTTTAATGTTCTTAAAAATAATTCAGTAGGGGTTTTAATGACTTTAAAGTAACAATGAAAATTGCTTGAAGAATAATATTTTTGGTTGAAATAATGAAAGTAGAAATAAAAAAAAGCATCGAAATAATGAAAGTCGGGACTAAAAACTTGATTGCTTTTCGTTAATGAAAATGATGTATTCCCCTTAAGCAAGGATTTCATAACAGCGAAAACATCAAATTCATGATGATAATACGAAAACGATTTTATCGAAATTTAAATAATGTGAAATGAAGGACGCAGACGACAGCATAAAAATTACTCATTTTAATTGACTTGAATATATATCCGTTTCGAATCCCGACGATGTGGCTCGCTTAAGTTTCGCTTCCACATTTTTTTTCCACTTTCCACACGATGTTTATTTAGCAGTTTGCCCAGTTACACTGTTCAATGTAAATATTTCTGAATAAAGTGCAAGTCATAAAATGGCAAGCATTAAGCACTTTCCACTTGTGCGCACAGATTTTTAATTACCGGTCTTCAACTATAACGATAAAAAGTAAAAAAAAGAGGTTAAAGTATCGTATTAAACCAATTCATTTTACTCTTCGAGACGTGAAATGTACATTTTACCCTCAAGTTTTGACATTGCCTGATGCACTCGAAGTGCCCATTTAAGATTCGTTTGTCATTAGCTACGTTTTATGCTTTGTTGTTATTTCGTTGTTATCTGCATATCAAACTGACTTCATTTCTGATGACATTTCTATAGCTTAACGGCGTTATCACTGTTTCCTTATTCTACTCATTCCCAAGAATATTTATATGATATTGTCCTTTTAAACTTTATGAATCATAATAAATGTGCTGCACGAATGGCCTATAAACCATTTCACAAATGTAGCATTGTTACTGTGCTACACATCAAAATTCGAAAATATTCAAAAATAAATGTTTTCAGAGATATATTTTGCTGTTTTGGAAATTACACAACACAAATGTGAAATTTATAATGAAAAAATCGACAATTTGGAATTTTTATGACATTATTCGTTTTACCCTAATTTAATTGTGAATAAACAAAGAAATAATGAAAGTTTGGTACACTCATATGAACTCTATACAAATTGACGTTTTTCGCAAATTTACGAAGCAAAATTGACTCATTTCAATACTTTAATATTTAATTTATAAACTTCTGAAATATCTTAATTTGTATGAAATTTATATGGGTGTACCCAAAAATTCCATGACGTTAAAGCCGTTAATTTTGAACACATTACAAGCAAGCAATTATATGAGTACATAGCCAATTTTCGGAGGATATATACTCGAGGCAATTCAGTGTATTAATTTAGAATTATTTAAAGATCAATTGAAAATGGTTTCATTTGTAAGCGCGTTTTTATTTTCGCTGGTGGCGATCAGTACACTGTAAGTAATTTGCTTCATATTATAATTCAAGTGGTCTACTTCTCTAATTAACTATATCTTTTTGTGAATAATATAGAAATTGGGTTCAGTGCGAACCAAAAAAGTTTGCAAAAGAAGTTAAAGATATCTATGAGTTTGCTGCATTACATTCCTCGTCCGTTCAGCCATATTTCACTGTTAATCGTACATTAGAATCATCTGAAATCAATGGTAGTATCGACTATTTTGTGTAAAATGAACCACCTAACTATCTAACTTTTTGACAGCTGAAAATGCTGTAAAAATATGGATGTTGTGTAGGCATGGATCGCGAACAGCTGATGATCACGAAGTAGAAGAATTCAAATCATTTGAACACGGTGTAAGTAAATTGTTTCAATTGTTTGTTGTTCAGAAATTAACTTCAATAAATTAACTTCAAAAACATCAATAATAAAACTTCTCATTTTACAGTTGCGTGCACAAATTATCAGCAATCTTGAAAATGTGGCACAATGTCCACTTTCCAAAGAGAACTGGAAAAATCTGAAGAAATGGAAATGGAATACAGCATTTGAAGGAGATCGTGCAATAACTGAAAGTGTATGGGTTTTATTGGATTTCATTCGCTAATGATACTTTTATTTCAATAATGTCGTTTGATAACGTTCACACTGTTGCTTTTCAATGGAAGAGTTGGATACCATATTTCATTTTTTTATTGTATTCAATCAGTTTTATTTTTTTTTGTTGTCTCATTCAATTTTCTTTAGGGTAGAACCGAGGTTAAGAAGATAGGGGAGAATATGAAGGCAAGATTTCCAAAAGTGTTCAAAGGTCCATTTAATAAGAAAAAAATTAATGTGGTTGCTACAGACGAACCACGTATCATAAGCAGTGCTGCTACATTCATCGAAGCCATAGTTGGCAATGAAGGGCATGACAATGTTTTATCAGTGGCAAATGAAGAAGAAACACAAATGATAAAGGTTGGAAATATGATTATGTTTTCTATTTAGTACCAATATTATTTGAATTGTTAAAAAATTCCAGGCTTATGACTTTCCACCATATAGGGTACTATTCCGAACAACCGATAATCCAAAATATTGGAAACTTTGGGACTCGGATATATTCAAAAAAATGGTTGAAGGTGTCAACAATCGACTGCTTTTTAATGACAGAAATTTCACCATCAGAAGAGACCGCGTATTGAAAATGTACCATTTATGTCAATTCGAAGGCATATGGATGCCGGGAGGAAAAAGTGTTTGGTGCTCGGTTAGTCATTGACATTAAAGTATTGAAATGAGTTCAGATTTGAAACATTTCTCAATATCTACTGGGCCAATAGTTACAGCATACTTCACCAAATCACAAGCAATACTGTTGCATCTCAGTGCAATGAGAGTATTTTCTCGAGAACCACCACTTACGGGAGAATATTATGAAGGCAGAAAGAATCGTGAATGGAAGTCCAGCCAATTAATTCCAATGGCGGCCAATTTCGTCGCTGTTCTCTACAAGAACAACCAAGTTAAATTCTTCCTCAATGATAAAGTTGTAATTTTACCAGGATGTAAAAATGGATACATAACACAAAATTGTAATTTTATATCGAAAATAATTTGATTCAAATAACTACCACCATTTTCTTGTTTTTGTTGCACTTTTAAGAGAAATCAAGTGATACCTGTTTGTAAAAAATGTTCTTATTTTTTATTCAAAAGTCAAAACTCTGCATTTTTTTAGCTTTTTCTGGTATCATTGAACACTGTGTGCTTCTTTAAATGTTGAATTTATTATTCAAAATTTTCATTGATAGCGTATGGTTTTCAAAGGATGTTGAAATCCTCGAAGAATATAATATACCACGACATCCAACGACATCTGATTGGGTAACTATGACAATAGTCGCTTTTGAAGTTCCAAACACAATTCAATATTCATCCGCATTTCACAGAGGGATTATGCACCGATTGTTTGTTAATCCGAACCGAATTCGACAATGTACAAATGTTCGATAAAGCCAAGTTGATGAAATGATTGTGCAGAATATGTTTTCTCAAAATCATCATGTCAACATTAGAATTCACTTTGATTGCGAAATAGCAGTCGTCATTTTGACCGGCTCAAATCGTAATAATACCCATACGTAGCCATTGGCAACGGATATGCTTTCTTTTATGCATTCTTTCTCGATTTTGCATGAAACTAACAGATATCAAGAGCGTGTTTGAATGGTATTTGTCAGTTCGAATATGCACTCCAATTAGACGAGGCAGTATCAATAAGCCAATACATTCTCGAAAATATGTTTCAATTTATTTTATTCCATTAGAAATCAATATAAGCTTTATGTGAGGGAATACTGTGATCGACATATTAGACAAATTAAAACGTCAACAATGCGCATTTTTGGCAGCCATAGGTCGAGAGCGCGAAGCATAGCAATTCCATCTCTTTGTTATTGGAATTAAATTTCACACAAATCAAACAGTACAGGTCGAATGTGGTTTGCTTTTGTTGGGTTGTCATATCACATCCATCGGGTTTTGTGTGTTTCGTTTTTGATAGATTAATTAAATAACTCGGGAAGAGAGAGAGAGAGATTGAGCGACAGAAATGCTGAAATGAACACTCAATATTGCACCGAAACGCTTATCAAAACATCAATTGATGTTCAATGAATAAATGAATTTCTGTTTTGATAACGAAACACTACACCATGAGGAGATTAATATCAAGCAAATGAAGCTCAGCTGGTGACCGGACTCTTGTACAAAAATGTTTTTTAATTAGTTGCCTCATTATGCGTCGACTGAATGCAACTGAGAGCATAAAATCCGAAAAGGTAAACTCTATTAAATCCGGTACATTTTTAGTTGATTTTAATCATTTTCATTACGAAAATGTCAACTACAGCGGATTTTACGTTCAATTAACTGACTACAAATCAATTGGAATGAACAAAAAACCTTGATACCCACTTTTGAAACTGAAATTTAAAGGATACAAATTGCTTTTTAGCATTGACTTTTTATGTACTTTGCACCACCGTCGTAAAATGTTAGCTGCGACGGAACGTGTGCCCAATAGCAATGTATTGAATTTGCTTTTCCTTTCCAATTCAAATTACTCACACATCCCTTAAAATAATCGGAACGGGAACCAAATATAAAAGGCGTTGAAATATTTCTGAAAATACTTTTATTATACATTTTCGATAAATTTAATTGAATTTGGTTATATAAAAATATTCTTTTTTATCACTTTTTAATGAATGTTTTTATGAAGCTCTTAACATTTTTAACAGAAAAAAACCTAAATTTGAATGAAGCATTGTAACAACTTTGTGCGCCTAGGTATTTCTTGTAAATTTAAACTGCTCAATTACAACATGTACGTATGTATAAAAAAAATTAGGTTATAACGGTTGTTTTTTAAAACTGCTTCATTTTTTCAAACATAACTTTTTTAGTTTCAAAAAGAATAAACAAATTTTTTTCAAAAAAAATCCTTCTTTCGCATATTTCTGATTTTGAGACACGTTTCTGCTATGCATACCTTCAGATTTTTGCACTTCACGAATATCATTTTTATTGTGCTTTTGCTCAACATCAAATGCCTTCATTTTCATATTCATTGTGTTCACTATTCGTACCAATTGCGCATTTGTGAATTCCACAGAACCATCGATATCAAACAGTTCAACATTCTTGCTCAATATATTTGATTGTAGCCTTGTTAAAATTTCCAATAGTTTTGCAGTATCTTCCCAAGCACTTAAATTTTCCAATGGAATCAATAGCGTTGTGTCTTCAACAAGTGTTTTACACATTTGTTCAATATTGATCAAAATATTAATCATAGCTATATTTTTTGGTAATTTCTCCGCATCTTTAAATGTTTCTCGTAACACTAGGATATTTTTCATCTGACGAATCAACAGATAATCGACAATGCACTTCACTTCACTCATTCTTTATTAATTAATATTTTTTTTAAATTCCAAATTGTTTGTATAGAAGAAAGCTGTGTGTTTCTTCTTCGACTATTCAGATCATTTTATTTTTTTAAACGATATTTGTTTTGTTTTTGTTATATAAATAATTCTGTTGCTACAACTCAAGTGGGATTCTAAATCAAAACCGCAAATCAAATAAACAGATTTTATGTGAAGAATCAATTGATTTGGAAATTTTATTTTGAGTTGTTCCAACTTTTTGGTGATTTGAAAGAGATCGTACGAAAAATGATTTTAAAGTCAACAAATCAAATCACAAATCAAATCACAAATCAATGATTTGATTTGAAATTTTCAAATTAAAATTTTCAAATCATTTTATTTGAAACATATGACACTTCAAATCAAATTATTTGACTGTTTTTTATTTGAACCTTTTCAAATCAAATCTTTGATTTGTTGATTTTAAAATCAATTGGCCTCAAATCAGAGAACTCTTTAATAAACAGCATACTTCGTCAGCAAATTGACGTCAACATGATATTGTCGTAATAAATTCTCCGAAAATATGCTAGATTATCTGAAATAAATGTTGCGCCTGTCACAATAAATTCGGCGAATAGAACAAAACACAAAGGTGTTTTAAAGGTGGAGTTGTAATACGATTGTATGAATTCGTTCATTCTATGAAAGGTTCCTGCAAGTTTTTTTCAAGTTTCTAGTAAGAATTGTTTTTATTCTTCACGGACTATCTTAATTCGATTTGATATCAGAACGAAGACCGTTTCGAATTTTATGTCTTTATCAAAAACGAATCAGTCCAAAAATGGTGTGTGATTTATCGTTTGTGCTGATTTAATTTTTATGATGTGCTTTTTTGGCATTTAATTCTGAAAACATGCATGCATGCGTTTGACTGTGCAATTTTGTTTGTACGCAATAAAAGGTGATAAAATCTTTATAAGTAAAGTATATCCGGATGAGTATAAACGAAAAAAATAGAGTCTTTCCAGTGACAACAAAAACGCAATTAGGGTTTCTTATTTTGCTGCACATTTTTATTATTTTTCTGTTGTGATAATCATCGCAAGGCGTTCCAAGTGTTTAAATCGGGGAGGAAAGGTATTTTGCAAAGAAAGGGAAGCATTTTTATTGTTTTACATACTGAGTTGTTTGTGTTCACTTCGTTTGACTGGGTCTTTTTTTCTTGGTGCATTTTATTGCCATTCCCGTTGTATGTGTGTATTTTTTTGGAAGTAGCTGATTGATTAGATAAAAACGTTTCAATTCGTGTTAATTTTACGATCTTATTTTATTTTTTAGTAGATTTTTATGACGACTGCTACTATTTTAAAGATAAATGAAAATGGTTTGCCATTTGCCAAAGAAATCGTAAATATTTTCCAAACTGATTGACAGCTGAAGGTAATCAATAAATTTTGAAACGAACTTTTATGTGCGACTTATCGTTACTTTGTGCCATCAAAGAGGTTTCAATTAAACGACAAAGTAATAAAAAAATAGTGAGATTCAAATTAATTTCATATAGGAAAGGGAAGATTAACAACGTCGGTTTTTTTTATTTTGATTTCAAACTCAAAATGAATTCTGGGGTGTTTGTTTGGGAAAACGATCTGAATTTCATCGGAAAAAAATTATGCAGAGAATCAATTAAAAATAAAACCAAAGAAAAACCCAGTGTGTCCATAACATATAGAAATATCACTAAATAGTGTCGATATCTATACTATATCGGTGCACTATATATGTAAGATATTCCGCAAGACACCGTAGCTCATGATCGAAGTGATTGCGGACGGCAAACATGTTGAAACATACACACAGTTCTTTCTACTGCCGCACGGCAATTTGTGATTTTTTCCGTCTACACTGACTTCGATCGTGCGATACGGTGCCGTGCGGCAATAACTTTCATATATAGTGGACCGATATAGTATAGATATCGACACTATTTAGTGATATTTCTATATATTATGGACACACTGGAAAAACCTCTCATTTATAATTCACATTGCCTTATAACTCTAATGGTAATGATGATTTTCTTGTATCGACTTAAGATTTACACCATAAATCAAATGCTGATCGCTGCACCCCAAAATTCCATTTCGATTATCAAGATGAGATGCGACAATTTCGCATTTTTACCTTCTGATCAAATTACAACAAAAAAAATGCCATGATGTGTAATTAAATTCCACGTCTTTCACATAATCAAAACAAGCCCATATTATTTTCAAAATAAAAATCATTCGGCAATTCGTGTGCATAATAGCAAACGACAGTGACAAAGACATGGAAAAAAATCTTGCAGCAATAAAAAAATTGACAAGAAAATGAAATATTTTTATGCGAAGTCATTCTCTTCGCGTTTTTTTATCTACTCACTCCGTTTCAATTAATTTTTTTTTCCTCTTCCATTGACTGCTAGCGATACAAATAGACAAAAATCCAATAATAGGTAATTTTTTTGCTTCTCTTCTTTTTTTTTTTTAAATGACATTCATGAACTGGAAAAATACGACTTAAGAACGCAGTTGAGAAGGAAGAAAAAACGGATAAACGTAAAAAAATTCATTCATTGAAATTCATTGGATTGGTATTGTGTCACACGCTCCCTGTGCAGCTAGAGAGTCAATCTGTTTTTTATGGTTTTCCATTTCGTTAAAAAAAACTGAGATTGCATTCGAAGCAATGCCGAGAAAGACAAAATCACGAATCGTGTTCGCATTCAGTTTAACTGTCTGTATCTCATCACTCAATCTTCAATATCCTTTTCTTTCCAGTCCATTCACCCCTTACACTCGATTATATGATTATCACTAAATAGAATATGTACAGGCGTACATAAAACAAGAATAAATTGAGATTATTGATTAATTGATTGTGTTCATTCGAAAATCTGTATTTTTATGTAGCAATGAATAGACAGAGAAAGAAGAGAAGTCGCCGTCAATAAACTTAAATCCGTTCCATTCACTGATTTGATGTCGATGTCTATA